AACAGTGGACAGTGTCACTCTCCGACATAGTCGACTGGCCAAGAATCAAAGCTGTTGCTGAGTATAGACTACGTACCGGACACGATTGCACCGTTGATGAGTTTAGACTACGTACCGAACACGATTGCCTATAAACACCTTCACAGATTGGGAGTATACACTCAACTCACATGTACACCTTCACAGATTGGGAGTATACACTCAACCCACATGGACCTTCACAGATTGGGAGTATACACTCAACCCACATGCCCACCTTCACAGATTGGGAGTATACACTCAACCCAACATGCCCCTAAGTAACCTACAGGAGGAAATGGAGAAGACCCACCTAATTCGATGTAACCTACGTATACACTCAACCCACATGCCCTCTATGTAACCTACATTTGAGAAGACCCACCTGATTCGGTGTCCAGCCCTAAAGACACAGAAGACCCACCTGATTCGGTGTCCAGCCCTAAAGACAGGAAGACCCACCTGATTCGGTGTCCAGCCCTAAAGACAAGGAGAAGACCCACCTGATTCGGTGTCCAGCCCTAAAGACAAGGAAGACCCACCTGATTCGGTGTCCAGCTCTAAAGACAAGCAAGAAAGCCAGAGATACTGGGAAGCAAGAAGACAGCTAATGAGCTGAAAGCAGAGTACGGGGAAGCAAGAAGACTGCTAATGAACTGCTATTAATTAACCGCTATAAATGTAATCCAGCTCTAAAGACAAGGACGGAAAGCCAGAGATACTGTTAAGCAAGAAGACTGCTAATGAACTGCTATTAATTAACTGCCGCAAGAAGACAGCTAATGAATTGCTATTAATTAACTGCTACACAAGAAGACAGCTAATGAACTGCTATTAATTAACTGCTATTTATGTACCCCCCACCCATGGGGAAAGCTGAAGTCAAAGTTTAAGAGCTAATGATAAATATCATAAAGCCTGCCATTTTAAAAAAATATTCACCAAATAAAAGCAATCTTAATTAATTCTATATAACCAATAAAGCAAATATTAGAATCAGCACATAATAATCCCCAAACTATTCTTATACTAAAAAACAGTGCTTTCTGTTCTTAACTCGCACTTGATTCAACTGAAGTGGTTTGGATGAATTTGAAGGAGGATGCATCATAACAGTTTATAAAAATCTTCCTTTTTGTTGAAGCATTAGCAAAACATAAATTTTCCCTATTTATGCAAATAGACTTTTATTAATTAGTAGTTGGTTGAGTTGCGGTATTTAACGTAAAGTTTTCTCAAAAGTTTTATAAAAGCAAACATATTTTTGATACGAATAAAAGAATGGTCGTCTATAGTCTTAGAAATGTGGTGGGTTGGCTTATATTTTCTAATGAATCTACAAGTATCATCAGGCTCACATTGTTTAATTTTAGAAAATTTTCTAATGAGTAGCTCGAATCATTCGCACATTTACGTATAACCGAAATGCCTAAAAAGATGCCATTTGTCTATCAACGAAAGCGAGTAAGGTTAACCATTATTTTTCTTACATGAGAAAGGTATTTATTTATTGCTCGACCCGATAAAATGCCACTCCTGGTATTGTTTGACGAGAGAAGCACCTTTCCAGTCATATTATCACTAACTAATCCAAATTAGTTAAAATTTTAGGCATAAATACTAAATCAGATTTTAAAATTTATTTGACTCCAATTGATTTAGGTTTTGTGAATACATAATTTAGATTATTTAGCAAAATATTCAACATTTACAGTATCATTGAAAAAATTAAAATATCTTAGCAAAATTATAAATTTTGCAATAACTGAATATTAATTGTTTGCTTATTGTTTAGTATGCAATTTTAACAAACGTTCTATTTAGTTATTCTTACGCAGCGCGTTTTTCCGAATTCTTCTTCACGCCCATGCGATTCATCGGCAATGCATTATCCTAGTTCTTTGGATGGGTTCTTTGCAGAAGGTGATTTTCCCTAATAAAGTGATGATTATGTTATCCCTGTCTGAGTATTGAAGACAAAGTTAATCTGATATTAATATCTATTGAAGCCAGTTTTTTTTCATACAGGTTATTGATCGCACGACGTCGATTATTCCCTAAATATTGACAGTTGCGTCTAAACGTGTAAGTTCCTTTGTCGATTGTGATGATCGTTATCCCTGTCTTAGGCATGAAGATAAATATTTTCTGATAAAATCTAAGTCTAAAACGACTACTTACTTGTAGATTAATTCAATCAATTCAGACTGTCCCAAATGATCGCTTATCTGCGTTATGAAACGAATTATGGAGCCCACTGGGTATTAAATGCTTTTAGATGAGATGGTCTGTCTGAAGCAAGAGGTAAATATTTTTATTGACCTTTATATTGGCCCTATATCCTACCTTACGAGCCTTTGCTAATCTTGTCTGGAGCCACTGTATACAACATTAATAAATATGTATTTTCTATCATATCTTTTGCTTGGTGTTGGGTTAATGGTTATTAAGTTTAAGACGCATTATTTAAGATTGACAATAATGCATGGTTAGAGTTTCAACAATTCTTTGTGGCCTTACGTGGTGATTTGTTTTCGTGGGCAGTTGTCTAGTTATTACATAAAGATCCACACCTTAGTGTTGTTGTCTAATGTGTCAGTTTGAATTTCCGTTTCTATATTAAAGTTACCCCAGATGATGCGTATTTATTTCGGTCACGATTCTCTCTGTTCTAGTCCATTCAGCCTACTGTTCTTGGCCTCCCAATGTAGTTATTGTTCTTTTTCGTGTTTGCCGGTCAACGTGCGCATCTACAGATTCATCAGGCAGGAGGTTACTCATCGATCTTGCACTGGTTCGGTTGTAATGGAGTACACCTTTTCTATTCAAAATTAGTGCTCATAAACTCTTCCTCATTGTTATCTCCTTGTTCCTATACTAGAAATCTATTCAGAAGAGTTTCTGCGTGAAACAATATGCTTCCCGTTTGCTTCGTTTTGCAATTGAGGGCTATTGTCGATAAGATCAGCTCGGGACTCAGCTCCATATAGTAATTGGGTACGTAGTTAATACTCAGTGAAGGGAATAGAATGTCGCCTTGGTGGCCCAGATGTTAATTTCCATGCGAAACTCTGGATTGACTTTGTGTAAAGATGGGTGTTGAATATAAGGACTACTATACATATATGAGCCGCAAATGACATATCCGTGGTTTAACCTCATTTCCTATATACTTATAGCTCGTTTTGGAAAGCCTTTGCAAATCCCCGCCATATGAAGGGAAGCGCAAACCCTATAAATCCAACTAGTGAGATCGATCATTTCATTCGCTGGATGCACATCTATACCCCGAAGAATGGCAAGTTAATTGAAAGTGTTACAAAAGCCTAAATTAGGCAGTGGAGTGTTTGATAGACTTACCTCCTCGTGGTGCACCCTGGGCAACATATTATCATACGGTAAAAGTCTATTAACTGGCAGTTGACTTCTCACTTCAAGCAACCATCACCCCCACTGTGTCATATTCGACCCCTACCACAAGTCTCATGTTACCCTTTCTGAGTCTTTGTGCCTCTTTTGCATCTGTAAATCACTCTTCCGTTCCCTCCCACTCCACTTTTGTGACCGTGATGTCCACCCCCCCCCCCCCCCCCCCCCCTCCCTCTGTGAAGCCTGAAGTCAGCTAAAGGGCTAATAATAACCATTTGTTATAAATAAATAAATTAGGCAGTCATTATTCTATGGGCGCTACTACTTTTGACGTGACGATCGTGAGCACCGATTTACTCCCTTTAAATAGCTAACAAGATTCCTAAAAAAGGAATATTGATTCCAAAGCTATTCAAACCCTTCCAATTGCCCAACACAATAAAAAGACAATACAGTTTAGAATGGCACATGTATAAATATTCACCTGAGAATAAGACGTGTTCGAATATACTAAGAAGGAGTTAAAAATTAATTTGTACGATATAACTACTAAGGCGGAAGATATTGGCAAAAAAAGTTTAGCGTATTTATCGGAGAGAGTAAACTAAACAGTACAATTCGGTGATCAGACAGCTTTTACTAATCAAAAACAAACACTCAATTCTAAGACCAGGCAGTTTAAAGTGATTTCAAAGCATCTAGGGGCGGCACATAGGCTACATCTGTACCAACTGTAGCAAGAGCCATCTTTCCTGAAGTCACCGTCTTGGCTAGAATTCTATTAACATCATCTAGCTTCACTGACTCAATTGCTGTCATAAGATCAACAAGCGAGCAGATGTCACTACTCTTCCTCTCACCATTTCGGCTAGCACAGAGAAGTTGGAAGGCGATATCCCCCGTCAACTGGTTAATATCCTCGCTTTTCGAAATTGCCTCCATTATCAAACGGGCTTTGGCATTTTCAAATTGCTTTCCATTCAAGCCATTCTGTGCAAGCAAGTTGAGTGCCTTCAGAGAATCGACAAGATGTCCACCGACAACCTGGCCGTTAGAACCGGTTACAAGGAGACCAAAAAGACCATGATCGGAATAGGAGAAATTAAGAGGCATTGCTAGGGCGTCGGGGGATGGAGGCATGAAGTTTCCAGTCGACCCATAGGCGATAGTCTTCCTGGGTGGAGTAATAGCAGCCGCAACGAGAGTGAGAGCCATGGCGTCTGGACTTGTGCTCAAATGACCTCCTGTAGTTGGCCAAACTAGAGCAGCATACGTAGTATCGGCTCCGGTAATTTCACGGCGCCTTTCACCTGAAACAAAGGTGTGTTTTGGGGCACTAGATGGACTTGCATTCGGACGTAGTAGGGCAGCATCATACATAGTGTCAAAGATTTGAACGCTCTCGGTTTCCGGCCCACAACCAGTGACAAGGAAAACGGCATTAGAAGGAGTGAAGTAGGTGTTGTAGAAGGATTCAATATCTTCAAGCTTGTGAGTACCAATCCTGTAGGGGTTTGCAAATAGGGAGTTTCCGAGACCAGTGCCATCAGGATGTTGCCCATAGGCAGCCTCGTGCAGGAGTTCAATTGTCACTAGAGAGCGATAAAATTAGAGAAAAACAAGAAGCTTACAAGCATCGAATCTTCGTCGATTGAGCATGTCCAAATCTTTTCTCATTAACTTGTATACATTATCTTTCAGTTCCCAGTCATAAAATGTGGTTTTCGTAGCTATAGTTGCCAAAATCAAACCAGCTCGAGAGGCAAGATTTGGAGCAACATCAATACTATATATCATCTGTTCACGGGTTGTGTGGCAGCTATTAAATATAAAAAACTCATAAAACCACTCACAAGTGCTTTAAGAAAATACAAAACATGTAAATTACTGTAATTGGCCACCCATCTGCTGGACATGACGGGTAAGATTAACCGCAGTGTAGTCAGTAGTGGAAAGACCACAACTGCGTCTAATAAGGTGCGTAATTCCATGAAGATGAGGTCGGTTTTCAAAACGTGAACCAGCATTAAAAACTGCCATAATGCGAGTGAGTCCATTCCACATGTTGGGTTTGGGAACACATGCATACTAAAATAGAAACACAGTCACGTAATAAAAATCATGATTTTCATATCAACGGGAATGAATAAACGATACTACTAATTTTAATTAGTGAAATAAACTCATGGAGGAAGTTTATCCCAATCTAAAAAGGTACCTTCATTCCACCTTCACGTTCAAGAATCGAAATTGTTTGCTCATTTGCTTCATCATAGATCTTAAGTGCTGGATTAGCAGCATTACGAACAGGAAGCTTCAATATCTTTGATATATTTACCGATTTCATAATCAGGTTAACGTCAATTTGTACGCTTCAGTCTCAAATGTCACAAACAAAAGCGAAAAAATAATTTAAATTATAAATTTATAATATTAGAAAATTATTTAAGAATCTGCTGTTTATTTCGTCTTTTTACTATTTGGCTTTAATTAATGAATTTAGATGTTATTGCTTAAACGGATGAGCTAATTGAACCACATTTATATAAAAGATTAAACGCATTTATTTCTATTCAAAAATGAGAAAATTTATTCACATTATATGGGTTTATTCGAAAGAAATGTCAATTCATTGATGTTTTATCTTGCTTAAATGCATTTTTATACTAGATTAAACGTATTCTGTGTGTAATAAATTCTTTATCTGATAAATATATAGTTATCTTCAAAAACGCATAGTCACTGAATGTTTGCCATAGTCCTACATAAGTAAGGTTTTTAATTAATATTTTGTTATATCTTACATTACTTAATTATTTATCATTCCATTTAAATCTCATTTTTGTAACATTTAACTTTCCTCTTAAGTCAATATCGTAGTTAATGGTGAATATTAGGTCGAACAGCTTAAATGTAGGTAATTCGTAGTGTGATTCGTTTGTTAATTTACTAATGCCAGGTTGACCGTATCTTATGGAATGATTAAAACATGTTATCTGTGATACTAGGTCTTCTACATGGTGGCCTGAAAGTCTATAGAATTTACCGACAAATAAGTAAATGAATATAAATCTGTATCAATTCGTAACTTATACCATAGTTCTAGTTACCCGCGTGTAAACACAGTTACATATGCGGATTAATTGGTCCATCGTTAAAGTAGAACTTGTCCTCAGCCTGTCATTTCTAAGCGCTGCATTTTGATAGACATCTTCTGGCTATAGCATCTCCAACCTAAATAAAAGACACCTATCTTAGGAATACGAAACCACACCAGCAGTTATCATGATAGTGTTTGGTGCGTGGACCAATTTCTTTCACGGACACTTGAAAGGTTGTCAAGTACCTGCTTTGCATAGGGTAGGATCTGTTACATAATAAAAAAATTTTACAGTTAGTTGGGTAGGATAATCTTTTACATGCAGGAGCTTGGTTTGGAGAGGATTGCTTCATTTATAAGCCTTGACTCATGCTCAGCAGGGTCATCCAGTTTGGAATGGTTCCTAGAACTGGATAATCTACCGCAAATATATAAAAGAAAGAGGTGTACGGCGTGGAACACGTTTATTTGGGCAGTGATTTAACAGACAAGGAACCAAGTCATTACAATAAAATGAATAGCGTAGAATCTAACCAGCTAAATGCGCTTTGTGTGGCGTTCGTCTTGAGCCTCTTTCATCCAGAACTGATTAGTGGAGACGATGAGAATTTGATCGAAAAACAGTTAGTTTTGAAATCTACTGTAGATAAAAAACTTACTCTTTAAAATTTGCTCTTAATTCTGCATTTATATCAATTGTCATATTTGATATAAGATGTCGGCAGAACTCGAAGGTAGGTGGAAAACAGAAGCTGTAATTAAATGAACGTATACAGCTCGCACGACACTGGGCAAAACATGTTAATGTAATCTAACAGAATGAATAACTTTCATCCTATCATCTTACTTCTCACTTTTCTGCCAAACTCCCCATCTGTCGAAAATGCTTTAAATCGATTTTTAATGCCCTTTGTAATAACTCAAATATGGCTGGGAGTATTTCAGTGGATTTCCAGACTATGTAATTCCTCTTCAATAAAATTCGTTTTCAATTTTGTCCATTTCGTGAGCATATTTCAATAAATACCGGAATTTTCTTTCCGAACAATGCTAAGTGCTTTCAGTTTTTGATAGTTGATGCAAAAACACAAACTTATACGTTAGAAATGATGATTGGTGAATCACAGGGATTGATAGGATCGAAAACTAGTTTGATTATAGCCTGTAGACATGAATGCGTTGACAAAATTGAAGAGAAGAGAGTATTATTACAAGATAAAATTGAAACGTTGAAAAGGGCGCACATGGGTCACTAGAATCTGCAACATCGGTTACTACCTGATCCCAAGTGACCTCATTCGATGCATATGATGTGCGACTTACATCACTGTCACATCTGCTACCTATATCTTGCTCACCGAAAGATACATACGTCATAATACAACTGTCAGTATGAGACGGCCGAATTTTAGGAGACAAAAGTCATAGTTTCAGGTAGACCTGGAAAATTGAGCCGTACATCCTTAAAATGGGTGTTATTCACCATGCAATATTCAATTAATTAGACGACGATTTCGCTTCAAAGATTATTAATTGAATGAGTTTTTATGTCATTTTGATTCTTGTAGTCATTGAAGAGTCAAAAAGGCGTGAATAAACATTATGGAACTCACCAGAGTTTGCACATGATGAACTAATTTTTGGAAGGGTAGTTTAATAGTTCGCACTTTCACCCATACACATTTGGTATTCGCTCAAAATATATGGCAAATTGAGCTTTTCAACAATCTATTAATTCGTGAGGACTGAAATTAGCCTTGAATTAAAATCTATTACAAAAAAGGCTAATTAAATAATAATGCATTTTATAAGTTTCTGGAGGTTTTTGAATTGAGTTAAGGCTATCAAAGTTACAAAAACTCGATGAGGGGGGGGAGAACAGAAAAGTGATTCAGAGATGTAAAAGGGGCAGACGTAAAGGTAGAGAGTCGGGAAAAGGTGAAACGAGTACTGTGGAAGTGGTCGAATATGATATACAATGGGGTCATGGTAGTTTGAAGTCACAAGTCAACTGCAGGTTTATGGACATTTTTGACGTATGGTTACACGTTCCCCAGGCTGCACCACGTGGAGGTAAGTTTATTGCGCACCCTCTCTCACACTATATGGACAGCTCTGTCAGCAAATACATCAGATTACATCCACACAACCACATTTGGTCCCATTAGCCTCTTTGGTGTCGTGACAACTCCCCAGAAGGAGATTTTTCCCCCACTTCATTGTATGCCAAGATCTGTAAGAAGTTAGGAGAGCAAAAACTCAGCTAGAGTCTTGAATTGTTTGTAGATCATAAGGTTGTGCTGGGCCAATTAATCAGTTGCTACGTCGGTTATTACCTCACCCCAAGTGGCCTCATTCAATACATATGACATGCACCTTGTGTCACTGTCACATCTTCTATCTATATATTGCCCACAGAAAGATACTTACGTCATAATACAACT